CCCTCACACCTTGAGAGGTGGTCACCTTAATATCTTAGACAAAGAACTTAATATTATGATATGGGATAAATATGATACGATACTGATTCAGAATATGATGTGACTGAATGTGACATATGTGACGTGATGGGACGTGATGGGACATGACTGGACATGAAATATGTGAAGAGCATCACAGGACTGAAAGCTGTGGTTAACACAATATACCTCACCACACAATATACCTCACCACACAATATATCTCACCATACAATATACCTCACCACACAATATACCTCACCACACAGTATACCTCACCACACAATATACCTCACCACACAATATACCTCACCACACAATATATCTCACCACACAATATACCTCACCACACAATATACCTCACCACACAATATATCTCACCACACACCTCACCACACAATATACCTCACCACACAGTATACCTCACCACACAATATACCTCACCACACAGTATACCTCACCACACAATATAACTCACCACACACCTCACCACACAATGTACCTCACCACACAGTATACCTCACCACACAATATACCTCACCACACAGTATACCTCACCACACAGTATACCTCACCACACAATATACCTCACCACACAATATATCTCACCACACAGTATACCTCACCACACAGTATACCTCACCACACAATATACCTCACCACACACCTCACCACACAATGTACCTCACCACACAGTATACCTCACCACACAATATACCTCACAACACAATATATCTCACCACACACCTCACCGCACAATATACCTCACCACACAATATACCTCACCACACAGTATACCTCACCATATTAAACACAATATAACCCACCATAAAATACAAATTAAGAAATTAACATTGTCAGCTAATCAGCATTACTTCCCCTTAAATCATTAAATAAGTAGAGAAAGAGTTCAATGAAGTCAAATTACAAATCTCACAGATATGGCAGACCTGAAATATAGAAATATAACTCTCTACCAACACTGATGAAACAGTAAATTATCAAGTTGTTAACATGTACCTCCTGCTGTAACAAGATTGGGAAGCCTCCTGTGGGATAGTTATCAAAGGTGATGAGCACCTGTCTACCTCTTGCATGGCAGTCAGTGATGGCTGTACTTATTTTGGAGAGGTTGATGTTAAAGGGTATAAAAAATATTACAATTTCTGATAACAGCAACCGCTTATTAAAATTTCTGCTTCCAACACAAATTACCATCACTTATCCACATCTCTGATACCAACACAACTATCATCACTTATCCACATCTCTGATACCAACACAATGACCATCACTTATCCACATCTCTGATACCAACACAATGACCATCACTTATCCACATCTCTGATACCAACACGACTACCATCACTTATCCACATCTCTGATACCAACACAATGACCATCACTTATCCACATCTCTGATACCAACACGACTACCATCACTTATCCACATCTCTGATACCAACACAATGACCATCACTTATCCACATCTCTGATACCAACACAATGACCATCACTTATCCACATCTCTGTACCAACACAATGACCATCACTTATCCACATCTCTGATACCAACACAATGACCATCACTTATCCACATCTCTGATACCAACACGACTACGACCAATTTATTCATATATTTGATATCAACACAGGCATGTGGGTGTTTAGCTAAAATGGTATCAGAGCTATCATATTCCAGTTGCTGGAGGCCAGTTACCACCAGCAGCCAAAGAAAGGCTGAAAAACACATCATATTCTCTCGGAAATATGATTTTATTTTTAGAAATAATTACAGATTTAAAGTAAAGAATCTTCCAGGAAAAGTCATCGTGTTCAAGACCTAGATGATCATTAAAGTTTACCCTGCCAATTACTGACAATGCCAGTTGATATCAGCAATGCGCACAGATTCAACTGCTCTAGATCTCTATCATAGATAAATACTTCTCTGCATGGAATAATTCTTACAGCTTCAGAGAAAATTTATCGACAAATTTGTTTGACTCAAACATACTCAAATATAAAAATCATTTAACAGTAAGTGAAAACCCATTTTACCATTTTGGACAATTGATTGTACCTTTAAGTGGATATTCCTGGCCATAATGTTCAACACCATGAAAAACTATGAGGTTATAAAAGATATTAACCAGCCAGCTGTAATTTCTGGAAATAAAAACAAAACCAAAAGTCAACAACCAGCTCTATATAGCAGACAAATGAACTGCATTATACCATATAATTGCCTAAATATTTTTGACATCAATAATAAAGCTAAAAGGATACAAATGAAAGAATATTCCTGAATTATCAAGCGGTCATTGATCTTACCCTTCCTGTAACTGCAATAACACTAGCAATATTGATGATATAAACTTGTCCTCTTGGTCATGAGGCAATTTTTTTTATTGTCCAGTATATAAAAAATATCAGTGCTATCCCTGTAACTTTGGGTATGTGAACCTTTCAAGTATGTTTCTCCCCAAAATTTCAAAAACTTATCTATTATTTTTTCTGAGAAATTTTGATATCAGTTTTAATGTAAAAATGATGGTGTTTGATTGGCTACACTCCTCTACTTTTTACGCAGTTGACCTTATATCCTAATACTAATGGGCTCTCAATACACCACCATGGTTAACTGACATACAGGCCTCCCACCATGTCCAGCTAGCCACATCAGCATCTGTAATAAGGTCCTGTTCACCGAAGGAACACTTGTATACAACAATCCTCCACTCATAATCAATATTGATAATCAGCTGACAAGCAAACTCCAGGTCTGGGATCACCCCATACTACATATATATATACTTACAATAAATTTAATCTCACAATAATATCAAATTCCATTTCATCAGATATTCCCACACAGTATTAGCTTTTAGTTCTCCTTTTCGTTTGTTTCACAGATCTCATTGATAAAAATTCTTTTATTAATTTTTTTCTTTCCTTTATATAATTTAGGTAAAAAGAAGATATTTTACTACCATCAACTGACTTTTTCAAGAGAAAAATAATTAAACAGCTATACAAAAATTGCCTAATTATTGAAACTGATTTACTACAGCCAATCAAACACAGAAACATTTTCTATATCATGGTGTAGGATATATTATAAAAACATCATTTACTATATCATGGTGTAGGATATATTATAAAAACATCATTTACTATATTATGAAATAGAATATATTATAAAAACATCATTTTCTATATTATGAAATAGGATATATTATCATCATGGATATATTATAAAAACATCATTATATCATGGTGTAGGATATATTATAAAAACATCATTTTCTATATCATGGTGTAGGATATATTATAAAAACATCATTTTCTATATCATGGTGTAGGATATCTATTTTATAAAGAATACTTTCTATATCATAGGATAGGATGTGTTATAAAAACATCATTTTCTACATTATGAAATAGGTTATATCATCAAAACATCATTTTCAGGACTTAAACCACTAGAAATGCTAAGAGTTGAGAAATCTTGTTGCCTAAATGTTACATAAATCAAACATTACTTCAAAGTAGTCAAGGACACATTATAATACAGTGAAAAAAGACTTTCTCCCTGGTGACACTGATGTTGATACCAATTAGAGCAGGCGCTGGCGTATTTTTTCAATTTCTGAGCTGTTTATATGTCCTCAGCAGTGTTTCAGCTGTGAATTGAATCGAAAGTGTGTTTGACAGGAGTTACATTTTTGGCCAGAGATTTGATGACAACAGATTGGTCTGAGTGACCTGTTTATTTCCATGAGTAAAATTTTTATCTTTTACATTACAGGCCTATGGACTGCCGAGCTGCCTTCCATTGTGCGTTGGTGAGATGTCATATTCATTGTGATAATTAGCTGTCATTCACATCTCGTCACAACCAGCAATGACAACAAACACAGAAACGCTAACACATTCCATTGCCACATCAGTATGCCGGCTCTTCTACCACCATACAGTATCGCAATATCATATTTCTCAAGTTTGGAAGTCTGTTCGAACCTCAAACATGTGAAAGCCATGTCATTCCAAGTGAAGCATTCCTCTGAGTGAATAAATTCGTCCTCAAAATAATCTTATTAGACTTGGAAGGAAAAACCAACACAAGTTGCTCTTGAGATTAAAACCTAGTAACAAGACCATACTAAAAGTGAATTTGATTTCGCTCATTAAAATTAGAAGACAGTAAAGATCTTAAACCCATTATTGGCTGCTGGAATTTGGTAAGCCGTAAAATTGACATAGCTACGAGATTATGTCAACTAAATATCAGGATTCTGATGGCTGTTTCTCTAGATGCCAATGACGTTGGACCTACATGAACTCACAGCATTTGATAGACACAGATAAAAACCCAGCGATGGTGTTACAGGAAAGTAGAACTGAAATGACAGTTTCAGAATGATTCTCTTCCTATGGAATAAAGCTGTGTGAGAAATAATTCACAGATAGATCTAAAGATTGGCCTTGACGTAAACAATATGGATACATATTCGCGTCTACAAAACATAAAACTGCAAACATCTGTAAAACTGGATCTTGTGCTTAAACCACTTATAAAGTAATAAAATTTGATGACATTAAACTCGACAAAGGAAGTTAGATAAATACTACTATTCAAACATAGATACAACCTAGAAAAGTATGTACATTAATCAACAGATTGCAAAGAACATACTTACTGGATCAGAAACATGTTCAGAGTTGTCTTTTCCTGATCTGTACTCTTCAACCTCAACCTGCAAGACAGAATTGTGAAAGTGGTATTACTGAAATGATATTCATTTTACATTAACATTGAACCAGTACTGTTTTTCTCATTCTATCAAGTGCCTTTAATGTCTGTATTAAGCATCGAATTTAAATTTGTGTAAAAAAGTCCTGCCTGCATTGAATTTACTGACATTTCTTAGTGTGAACAGTGTGCCTGATTCAAAAGTTTGTGCCATATAGAAGAAAGGATGGGCAACATGGATATTCTAATGGACCACATCAACTTAAACACAAGTTGGTACACGCCCCACAGTAATGTGGAGCCAACAAACCACACGCCTATGGGCAGTGCCCCAGGGGCAGAGACAGTCAACCAGTTCATGATGCAATACAGCCAGTATCATGGATTTATCAGTGCGGTCATTTGTGTGTTTGGAGTCGTGTCCAATATTCTAAACATTATTGTACTAACACGACATCACATGATAACGCCCACAAACTACATTCTGATCGCGTTGGCCATCTCAGACGTGCTCACAATGTCTTTCTACCTTGTATATGCAATCTACTTTTACTGCTACGCTATCCCTTTCACGTCGTATGGTCACTCCGAGGGCTGGATCTATTTTGTGTGCATCAATATTCTCGTAGTCATCACATGCCATAACATGGCTATGTGGCTTACTGTATCACTTGCTGTGTTCCGATATATTTTTGTATGCCATCATGTCGTAGCCAATCAGCTTTGCAGTCTTCAGCGTGCGAAAATAACAATTGCTGTGGTGATGTTTACAACCATTATTACGTGCACCCCAAACTACTTCCTGTACCGAGTGTACCCGTTGGACCCCGACAAAAATATGACCGGTTATTGGGTGGGCCAGAGTGAGTTTGCATCTAATAACATTTATTTTCAACCAATCACTTTCTGGATATATGGAGTAATAATAAAAATAGCACCGTGTGTTCTATTAACTATACTTAGTGCATGTATAATATTCAAGATGAATGAGGCAAGTAAGCGTCGCCAACGGTTACTTCAGCAGTCCGGTCGACACAATGAGGAGGCCCTGGCAGAACACAATCGCACCACAATGATGTTGGTGGCAGTGGTACTGTTCTTCGTCATAACAGAGTTCCCACAAGGTATCTTAGCAGCCATTAGTGGCCTAAATGAAGCTTTTTTCCAAGAGGTCTACTCGAACCTTGGCGACATCATGGACCTCCTCGTTCTTATCAACAGTGCCATTAACTTCATCCTCTACTGTATCATGAGCCAGCAGTTTCGCGACACATTCAAAAACTTGTTTGTCTGCAAACTACAGAAAGTTCGCAATCACAATTCGAACTCCTCCCGACAGAATGGTACCTCCTATTACAATATAAAAACTGAGGCTACACAGGTGTGATGTTTATTTGTGTATAGACGAAACTAGTGAAACGATAAATAATCAAAATGATCATGTGACGTTTAATGCTTGTGGCCTAAGTGTCCAGAATAGGCAATACGAAAGTTTCGGTAGCCTTAGTAACAAACAATGGCAACTGTTACTAAAATTCCGGTGACACGTTACTTTGACTACTGTTACAAATGGTGACATGTTACTTCAGTATAAGTAACTATTCAAACCTAAATTTATCCACACTGCCGCTGTGGTTTAGTAACAATGATACTCTTTTTTGGTTTTAGTAACTATGACAACTGTTAATCTGGCTTTATCACAAGAACAACTGATATGACCCGCTTTGATCAGTTATTGACAAATGTTACTTCATTTTCGTAACAAACCTGTACGTTACACTGGTCAGATCTAAGATGACAGTGGCCTTAGCAACATTAAGTGTATTATCCATTATGTTGCCAAATTTGACCATAGAGCAGTTACCTTCAACTTGGAAATAGGATTATTTACTGAAGTTATGGTTTACAGGGCAACAAACATTGCGTTTACAGCGTGGCCTTGCAACCATTGGTGTGATGAAATATTAACGAATGATTTTCTTTTTTTATTGGTAAAACAACGACAGTCTGATAATGTGTGAGAAATGACATCAAAGGTCCCTTGCGGAGAAAATGACTGATCATCCTCATAGAGGTGCCAAACTCTCAGGCATTGTACTATAGAACAATCGGGGTTTGATGAGAGCCTCTTTGTGATTTATAATGTGTATCTCTTCGGCTCTTCAGCGTTACTTCAAATAGTAATGAAATCCACTAGGAAACGCAGCCACAAGCAAGTAACATTTTTCACTCATGAAGTGTACAACAATTTGTGATTGTTCTTGGTCCATCATAAAAATATCACATATTGTTAGATAAAAGACAAGAACACATCAACTGTGGATTAGGGAACTGTTTGGATTGTTTGGTGTTACGTTAACATCGCAACAGACAATGGTGGATTGACATTGAAAATACATCGGCAGGTCACTGCGGTCTGTGGATTTTAACAGTTGAATAAGCCAAAGCTACCGATGGAATTGATTTGGTAAGAATAGCCTAGTTACAATGTGGATTGGTTACCATGGATATCTGCCTACTTATCATGTGGTTTGGTTACAGTATACATTATTCTAGTTACCATGTGGATTGGTGATCATGGACAACAGCCTAGTTACATTGTGGCTTGGTTACCAAAGACATCAGTCTAGATACCACGTGGATAGATTAATGCGAATATCAGCCTAGTTACTGTGTGGAATTGTTACCCTGGAAACCACCTTAGTTACCATGTGGATTGATAACTGTGGACATCAACCTAGTTACCATGTGGATTGATTACTGTGGACATCAACCTAGTTACCATGTGGATAGGATACTTGGACATCAGCTTGGTTGTGGATTAGTTACTCTGGAAACCAGCCTAGTTATTATGTGGATTGATTACTGTGGACATCAACCTAGTTACCAGGTGGACAGGTTACTTGGACATCAGTCTAGTTACTTCGTGGATTAGTTACCATGGACATTAGTTTAGTTACCATGTGGATTGGCTATTTTGGACAGCAGCCTAGTTACTGTGTGCAATGGTTACCATGGACGTCTGCTTATCACTGTGTGGGAAACACATACATAATCCACATCTGTTTTCAGATATGTACATACCAATATCGGACACTGAAAGGTGGTTTGTGTGTACGCGTTAAAACAAAGTCGACACATGAAAACATGTTTGATTTGTAGGTGGATTACTGTGGCCAAGAAAACTTTGACAAAGTTTCTGTGTGTGTTTGTACTGACAATTGAAAAGTTGTGTATATCTACTTTTCAGTAGTCATCACTTAAACTTCTGTTGTGGATTCACAACTACGGAAAGAACAGTGTGGCTCCATGTGTAACTATAGAAAAATGTGTAGATTTGTCACACACTGTGGAGATTATGTAAATGATAAAGTGTAACTAGGGAGATTACGCAAATACAGTGTGGCAATACATGTAATTATGGAGATTACATAAACAATATAGTGTGGCAATACACGTAGCTATGGAGGTTACGTAATTACCATAGTGTGGCTATATGTAAGTATGAAGGTTATGTTAATACCAGTGTAACTTATGTACACTATATGGTATTTGTAACTACGGATATTACATAAATACTGTAGTGCGGCTGTTGTAGTGCGGCGATTACGTAAATGCCACTATATGTGAATGTGAAAGTGTAACTTTAGCGATTTTAGGGTGACTACTGATGTGAACAGTGAATAGAGACTTTTTAATGACTCCAGTGTGACACAATGGAAGGAGAAGACCAGACATGCTTGCTGCCCTGTAAAGTGTGACCTGCTGTATTTAGGATGACGACAATGGCTTTGAAGGCTATTCCGGATAGAACAGGTACATATGGCGATACAACAGTAGCTTGTCAGGGGCCAACTCACCAATCAGAATACATCAATTAATAGAGACCTACATGGCTTAGTTAACTGCTGTCCAACGAGGTTGCTGAGGAGAATAAGTCATATGTGACATACAGACACAACATTTGGTAAATGTAGAGTTTTCCAGTTACAGCCATGATGATTTCATTATTGTTGTCCTTGCTGCCATATAAGTGTATATAGAATATCATACTGTGTATAAAATTCAGTTTGTCGTCAAATTGTCACCATGGCTGCAACACAGGTAAAAATCAAACGACAGGTAGACATTTTAAGCTCATGTACAGTAAATATGGCCATGCATGGCTCCTTTGACATATCTGTGTCCGTCAGCCAAAAATCATGTTTCATGTACATTGAAAATAATTTATTGTCGGAAATTGATCATCGTTATATAAACTGTTTATTTGTTTATCTAAAGTTTTACCGTTTGATTATATCTTGTACAGATCAATTTAAGGTAATCACCAATCTCCAAACAATACAAACAATGTGATGTTAAACATCCTCATCCATCTAAACAACACATAGCAATGTTAAAACATCACTTCCTTACTAAACAACACATTACAGTGTTAAAACAACACTTCCCTTCTAAACAACACATTACAGTGTTAAAACAACACTTCCCTTCTAAACAACACATTACAGTGTTAAAACAACACTTCCCTTCTAAACAACACATTACAGTGTTAAAACATCACTTCCCTTCTAAACAACACATTACAGTGTTAAAACAACACTTCCCTTCTAAACAACACATTACAGTGTTAAAACAACACTTCCCTTCTAAACAACACATTACAGTGTTAAAACATCACTTCCCTTCTAAACAACACATTACAGTGTTAAACAACACATTAAAACAACTTCCCATAACCAACACATTACAGTGTTAAAACAACACTTCCCTTCTAAACAACACATTACAGTGTTAAAACAACACTTCCCTTCTAAACAACACATTACAGTGTTAAAACAACACTTCCCTTCTAAACAACACATTGTAACGTTAAAACATCACTTCCCTTCTAAACAACACATTGTTAACGTTAAAACATCACTTCCCTTCAAAACAACATATTGTTAACATTAAAACATCACTTCCCTTCTAAACAACACATTGCAATGTTAAAACAACACTTCCCTTCAAAACAACACATTGTAAGATCAAAACATCAGTTCCCTTCTAAACAACACATAGCAATGTCATTTTCATACACATATTACAAAAGATTTCTGACATAAATATATATAAGATAAATATATGTAACTTGTATTCCATGGTATAAAACTTATTGGTTGATAGTCGAGAATATCCAGGTATTTTCCAACTATGTTTCCTTCGACTCCCTACCCCCGTAAATAGATAACATAATGATGCGTAAGGTTAGTGCACAATGCCCATCTAGATTTTGACATTTTCTTTCGATTACATCAATCGATTCCTGGACTTTAAAATTTAGACCCTTAGCATCACTGATAAGTCCTAGAAGGATGAAACACCTGTACGATGTAGTATAATTCATGATTTGGCTCTACGGTGTCTAACTCTAAATTTGTATTAAAAGGTGCTATTCACTTGTGTGTCTTTTGTATAATCTTCGAAGTTTTCTATCTAAAGTAAACATATTAAAGTTTCAGATACCTTTCACTATATAAAGTTCTAGGACATCAAACACCCTCCCTCCCCCCCAACCGAACAACCCTTTTTGTTCACCAAGTACAATAACATGAATTCTAGACACAAGAAACTCTAAGTAATCTGCAGTTTTATGGGGCATCACACTTGCCAAACCCTGAATGACATTTACCTTAGAACAATGGCAGACATAATCTTAAATTTTATTACCCACACAAATCCTGGTCTGGCTTCATTGCTTAATAGTGTCTGACAATACTGTATGGCTTGACTTTGACCTTTTTCCGTCCTATTGACAAAAAACAATCTGACTAAACCTGAAGTCCACAATGTCAATATCTCTGAATTAAAACTGAAGTCCTTGAGAAAAGTTTCGGTGCGTTTTTATTTCTCAAAGACAGACTAGAAGTTGAGAAAATGTTTTTATGGCCTCACTTTAGAATCATTTAGTGGTGTTGAAAATCGGTAGACGTGATGTTGAGAAATGCCAATCTCGGTGAAATGTGTTACCGATGGTCTGCTCGTCAGTATTGAAATAACAAGAATTGCTCTGCAATACTTTTCTGCAATTATAGTACATGACATTAACATGACATCAACATGACATTGATTATCATCTGAATGTAGTATTCTACACGACATATTTCACATCTTTAAAGTTTTCATCAAACTTTAAAAACTAATATGATTCATATCTTTATTTGGATACCAAAACAAAAACACCAAAGGCAAACACAATTCAAAACTTCAATCAATAAACTTCAACTCCAAAATTCATTTTCAATTAGAACCATAATAAAGATATGGCCCTAAATTAGCATTATTGATGGGCCCTAAGTTGGAAAAGCTGTATGATGCAGTTAAGTTTATTGTTTAGCTTTAATT